ATCAAGAAATCACCTAAATAAGACTTGACTGACAAAGTGAAGTAGACCAAAAGATCCTCAAAAGCTACACATCATGCCGAGATCCAAAGAAATCCAGGAGCAAATGAGAAAGAAAGTAATTGAGATCGATCAGTCTGGAAGAGGTTATAAAGCCATTTCTAAAGCTTTGGGACTCCAGCGAACCACAGTGAGAGCCATTATTCACAAATGGCGAAAACATGGAACAGTGTTTTTAGTGTATTGTAATATTTTGTCATTATGTCTCTCCGTGTCAGGGTTTGCTGCGCCACGCCCAATTGGAGCGTGACCCGGTTTAAATCCCCACTAAGAGTAAACCATTGGAGTAGATATCTTATGCGTGGCGGAGCAGTGTCTTCTTAGCAAATGTATGGACGCCGGCTAGGGCCCCTGCGCGGTGCGTGGATTTATTGGTTTGGCGTGTATACAACTTGTTTTGAGGACATAGTATTATTTCAAATATATATCTGCCTTTATGAAAGGAACGTGCGTTCGTATTTCTGATGCGTCTGATCAGCGCGCTGGAAATGGTATGGGCATTGCTCACTGAGCCGTGCTGTATAAGGTTCACTCCAGTGGTAATTGGATATGTTTCCTGTTTGAAATCACTTCCTGGTTTGCTGTGTGAGACATCACTTCCGGTCTGACATCACTTCCTGTTGGGGAGCTATAAAAATAAACAAATACCTGTGCTGACGCTCTAAGAATGGAAGCAGCACGAAAGCAACATCTGTCTCCTGTGTCTTAACTCTACATGACTCTACAGAGTTACTTCCAGTCCTTGCACAAAAGAGCGTAATACAACTGTGCTTTTAAGCACGGGGGAAATTCTTTGTGTTTGGCATACTTTGGTGCAGTTTAGTGCGGCATGGATTTGTGCGTTGAACCAAGCGAATTTCCATAACAGCGGCCAACCAAAATTACCCCAAGAGCGCAGCGACGACTCATCCAAGAGGTCACAAAAGACCCCACAACAACATCCAAAGAACTGCAGGCCTCACTTGCCTCAGTTCAGGTCAGTGTTCATGATTCCACCATAAGAAAGAGACTGGGCAAAAATGGCCTGCATGGCAGAGTTCCAAGACAAAAACCGCTGCGGAGCAAAAAGAACATAAAAGCTCGTCTCCGTTATGCCAAAAAAACATCTTGATGATCCCCAAGACTTTTGAGAAAATAGTCTGTGGACTGACGAGACAAAAGTTGAACTTTTTGGAAGGTGTGTGTCCCATTACATCTGGCGTAAGAGTAACACCGCATTTCAGAAAAAGATCATCATACCAACAGTGAAATATGGTGGTGGTAGTGTGATGGTCTGGGGCTGTTTTGCTGCTTCAGGACCTGGAAGACTTGCTGTGATAAATGAAACCATGAATTCTGCTGTCTACCAAAAAATCCTGAAGGATAATGTGTGGCCATCTGTTTCTGACCTCAAGCTGAAGCGAACTTGGGTTCTGCAGCAGGACAATGATCCAAAACACATCAGCAAGTCCACCTCTGAATGGCTGAAGAAAAACAAAATGAAGACTTTGGAGTGGCCTAGTCAAAGTCCTCGCCTGAGTCCTATTGCGATGCTGTGGCATGACCTTAAAAAGGCGGTTCATGCTCAAAAACCTTCCAATGTGGCTGAATTACAACAATTCTGCAAAGCCAAAAAGACTCCCACATAGATGGAAGCGATGACTGATCAGCAGAGTCTAAGTAGAATTTTTGCACCCGGAGGAAGATGCAAAGTACCTTCAGATCCAAATGGGGTAAATACCCTAATTTGCTTTGGAACAGAAAAACCCTGGAAACATTCCTTTTCTGGAACAATAGCGATGGCCCCTTGAGGAAGGAATTGTGCCCTAGCAGAGTAGAGGTCCACTTGTCTTTGCGGTTACACTGGCAGGTTGGACGACATGAAATTCTAGCTTGTAACCCATGAATGTTTAAAATGTCATGGGACCAGGTGGTTGCAAAGGCCAACAGACAGCCCCTGCTCTGACCGGTGGAGGTGTCCCCTCATTATGAGGACATGCTTGCGGGCTAGGAGGATATGGGGTTTAGGATTTATGGAGGAACGGAGTGTGGGGTTTTGTCTCTGAGGTAAAGGGTTTGCCCAGTTGAAGCTTTTCCTTCTTCTATTGAGGTAAACGTGCACTCCTACCTCCTGCTGTCTAGGGACTCGCCAAAAAGATGTCCTACCTCCAAAGTGCATTTGCAAAAAAGGTTTTTTTTACACTAAAGCTCTGCAGACCAACATTTGAGGCATAGGGACCTCTGCATGTGCACTGAAAGGAGATTAATTCTGGATATTAGGCAAATATTATTTGCCAGCCCATCAACCTAGCAGAGCAGGGGCACATGCATGAGCTCCAGTTGTTGGAGGACAGAGGGATGCATGAGGATACACCCAGGATTCCAAGACATTTCCTTAGACCAGACAGCCAAGCAATGGGATGGCCAATTTTTCAAGGAACCCCTCCTCAATAGGAGATAACTGGACAAAATGCAATACACATTTTCTCAGGGCTAGGTCAGTCACTGTATAAAACAGGTTGTAAAAGTGAGTGCACAGGAAAGGTTTTAACAGTCTGGTAACCGTAAGAGAACCCAGGCTGGTAACCTTAGGTGCAGACAAAATGCTTTTTCCTAGAACATTCTGTCAGGTTAAATTGGTACAAGCTTAAAGAGGAGCTTTACCCATATCTTCAAAATAACAACAAAGGGAGGGGGCGTGACTGGTTTTCGAGCAAGATGGCAGCAGCTCCTTGAAGCTCCGAGCATCAGCCGTCCATGAGGCACGTACAACTAGCTCCGGGGCCGGATTACCTGGTCTGACCACACCCCATTTCCCTAGTTTTGTCCACGTTGGGACAATCTAGGGAATCATATGTGTGGCGCAATTATGTCAGTTTGTTACATTCTCCCCAGAGAGCTGCACCTATTGGAGAATGTTTGTCCGAGTACTTTACACTTAATGTAGATTCAGTTGAGGATCCCCTCTGTATGTATGGAATGCACATAAGGCATACATCAGAGGATTGTTGATGAAACTTGGGGCTGTGGAGAAGAGACGGTCGCAGATGGGACAGATAGAGGAAAAAAAAGAACCCTAGTGCGCAAAACGCTACCCTGACCAGACATAGGAGGGTTGGGGGCATGAATTGCCCAGATTTGAAGGACTACAACATAGCTGTTCTGTTGGACCAGTTGAAACCATGGTTGCATCCTCGAATTCCAGTATTGTGGTGAGATGTGGAGGTGACCTTGGTGCCTGGGGCTAACCCGCATTTCATGTACGTAGCACACTTGCTCCCTAATTTCAGATTAGGGAGTGCAATTGTTTTAGGAGCTTTTGGAGGGAGATTTTCAGGAAAATAGCAGCTATCACGGGATTAATAATAGCCCCATCTCCTGCCCTAGCTGTTCTCTCATTGGGTATTGACCTTATCCCCAATAAACTCAGAAGCTTAATAATTCATATTTTACTAGCAGCCAGGCTCACTGTAGTTAGACGTTGGAAAAGCTCCATAACTCCCTCACCTGGTGACACTCTCTCAATAGTGACGCTTCACTACCATTACAAAAGACTTATTGCCTATAGGGAAGGGTCATTGAAATAATTTGATGAGAAATGGCTTCCATGGGTTCAGTAGTCCAGAACATCTATACCAACAATCAATCCGTGAGCGATGTATGCAACTTCCCTGTTTTATGTGTAACTGAGTCCAAACTCTTTCGTTACTATGTTTACATTGTACTGTTCATTTTAACTGATAGTTAACTATGTTTTCTACTTGCATCTTGGTCATTGGATACTATTCTATTCCTACTGACCCTATGCCAGTTATTTTCTTTGTATTTCGTTATTTTTTAATTTCCTTTGATATTTGTTCAATTTGTCATAGCGATGACACAATCTTCAATAAAAATCTATTGAAATTTTAAAATAACAACAAGATCTTACTTCCCCCATCCACCTTCCCTTCTTTCCTTCCCCTCCCGCCCTCCCCCTCCTGTCCCTTTCTCATCCCGCAAGATAAACTTTTTTTTCAATGATCACTGACAGCCGGAACTCTGTTAGTGATTACACATAGGTTTGGCCAGGTGGCATTTCGCTGTATTCCTATTCCGGTCCCTGTCGTTTCTGTTTGTATGATCCTATCACTCTAAGTGTTTGTTTCTTTGTTGTGTAAAATAGAAAACAGTGAAATAAAGATTATATAAAAAAATAACAACAAAAGCACCTTTAGAAATGTTTAGTAAAGACAATCTACAAACAGATACTTGTAGATAATTGCAGGCTTTTTATTTTTTGCATACCTTATTTTTCTTTTCTTCTCCATTCTTCTGACAGTGGCCATTTTAACTAAAGGGCAGGTAGATCTCCCTTTACTTCCTGGAACTCTGGCACATGTTACTAGGACTGTGACCATGCACATCATCTCAGTGGAGGAAATGCCTTTCTCTGAGATCTCATGAGATTACAGATACGATTTCCCAGCAATGTTCTGCTGATGTAACCTCCCCAGAATGCAATGCTTGGGCACATAACATCATTTGTGCCAAAATGGACCAGGAAGTGGAGAAGTTTTTATTTTATCTGGTTTAAGAAAATGGTGCTTGCCGTTCATAATGTATACAATTTTTTGTATTGCTCTCATTGGTGAGTGTTCCTGTGTTTTCATGAAAATTTCTCAATAAAACACATATTACTAACATGTACATATTAGGGATGTCCCGATACCAATACTAGTATCGGGGACCGATACTGGGCATTTTCACTAGTACTTGTATTGGAAAAAGTATTGGTAATTGGTATCGGCAAATACCTGAGGGAAAGTATTTGTACTTGGTCTTGAAAAAATGGTATCAGGACATTGTTACTTTATATCATTTAAATCCTTTTATCAATATAATTGTCAAGCAAGTACAGAAAGATAATAATGTATCTTTACATAAATAACCACATTTTAGAACTAATGATTGAGGTTTGGTACCTTAAAAATAATATGGATATTCTCTCCCACTGGGTCCACATTCTGGAAAGTAAGTTTCAAGGGTACAGCATTTGAGTTGAAGTGTGAGCAGACCTGAGGGAAAAAAATATTTTTATCACATTCTGTATTTTAAACACATTGCAAATGGATCAGACCACACAAGAGGTTTATTTTACCACCTTGCGCATACTAGTGAATCATATCATGTGACTGTCTTTTTTTCGTTCAGATTACATAGTTACATAGTATTTGAGGTTGAATAAAGAGACAGGTCCATCAAGTTCAACCTTTGTGTGTCTGTGTGTGATTGTGCATGTTTATATGTGTACACGAGTCCCTGTGTGTCCTTGTTTTTAAGTGTACCTGTATCTAAATGCTTTTTGAATGATTCACTCTCAACTGATATCACTTCTTGTGGCAGCGAGTTCCAGACTTTAACCGCTCTAACTGAAAAAAAGCCCCTTGTGGTTAAATCTTTTCTCCACCAGTGGTGGCCTCTAGTCTTTGTTATGGAGTTCACTGTACAACGTTTATTGCTGATGTTGCTATCACCACTAAACATTTTGTAAATCAAAATCAAGTCCCCTATTAATCTCCTCACTTCCAGTTTAAATTTAGTAACCTTGTCTCATAGCTTAGGTCCTCTAGCCCCTTAATTAGTTTAGTTGCCCATCTCTGGACTTTCTCCAGCTCAAGGACATCTTTTCTGTGGATTGGTGACCAAAACTGGACCGCATACTCCAGGTGAGGCCGAACCAGTGATCTATAAAGTGGCAAAATTATTGCTTTGTCTCTACAGTACATTCCCTTTTTAATACAAGACAGTACTCTGTTTGATTTGTTTGCCACAGCCTGGCATTGCATACTATTGTTCAATCTGTGGTCTACTATAACCCCCAGATCTTTTCCATTTCTGACTTCCCTAGTGGAGTATCCATTAATGTGTATTCGTCTTGCCTGTTTTTAACTCCAAAATGCATTACTTTACATTTTCCAACATTAAACCTCATCTGCCGTAAAGTTGCCCACTCCCTATTTTATCCAGGTCCTCCTGCAATGTTATAGTGTCTAAGTCCATGTCTATTACCCTCCCAATTTTAGTATCATCAGCAAACACAGAAACATGGCTATTAATACCTTCCCCGATATAATTAATAAACAGATTAAACAGTATGGGGCCTAGCACAGATCCCTGGAGCACGCCACTCTCAACCATAGACCAATCTGAAAAAGAGCCATTTATCAATACTCTCTGGATACGTTCCTGTAGCCAGTTCTCTATTCGTGTAAACACCATTTCATCTATGCCCATAGATCTCAGCTTGTATACTAAGCGTTTATGTGGTACCATGTCAAAAGCTTTGGCAAAATCCAGATATACCACATCCACAGGTTTCCCTCTATCCAGATCTCTACTCACCTCTTCATAGAATGTCTGACAAGACAAAACAGTTTTATCTTTTAGATTTAGTCAGAAAATATTTTTTTTGGTGCACCGATACTGATTTTAGTGCTTTATCAATTGAATTGTGTATTTTTATGGGTTTAATATTCATTTGAGAAACATTTGCGCAATTATCGCAGGGCCTACAAATTTAGTAGCACCATCTTTTTGCTCTTTCAGAAAATATATGGTTTAGGGGGTCTTTTACAAACGCTAGCAACGCAGCAGAAAATCAAATCAATGGGAAAAGTTGCCGGCATCTGGAGCCTCTCATCCCTGCAAGTGTCGGCTGGCGGGGAGAAGCCGCAAGTTTCAGGATGGCCGAGCGGTGAGAATGGAGCCGCTGTCATCCTGTCAGTTTCCGGATGACAGCGGCTCTGTGCGTGGCCGAACGGAGGATCGATAAATATCATTGATATTTACCGATCCTCTGTGCAATAACTGGGGACACATAGGGGGTTATTCACAAAGCTGCCGAAGGCAGCCGTGTGATTAACCAACCCGAACGCTGTTCGGCTATTCACTTCAGGCTTGTACAGCTGATTTGAGCCGTACATCGGCTTGCTGCGGCTGGGTTTGGGTCGGCCGAACATGTTCAGCATGTTCGGCAGACCCGAAGTGCAGAAGGAGTTCGACTCAGTCGATCCAATATCTGGATCGGCTGAGCCGAACCTCCAGCAGGCTACTCGCTGCTGTTCAGCCTATTCTCAAAGGGGCAGAACAGCAGTGAGTGAATAGTCTAATGCCGCCGAGCGTCATTCTGCTCAGCTATTCTGCTCGGTACCTCTGTGGTACCGAGCAGAATAGAAAAAGTAGAGAAGAAAAGGAGAAAATTATTGGACGGAGCTAGCATTGACAGCTAGCTCCGCCCATCTGTTTTCTATTGGCCAGGACCAGCTGTCATTACATTGAGAGCTTGTCGGAGCCGGCGATGATATCAAAGCCGGC